CCGCGGCCCTCCTCGTCCGCCTCCTCATCCGTCGAGGCAACCCTTCGCGCCCTAGGAGCGGCGGGGGGCTCTGCACGGCGTCTCTTCACGGGGTGTGCTGTGAACAGGCACGCGCTCGATCCGCGCCAAGAGACGGGGAGCGGCTTTGATGGTGGCGGCTGCCGGACCGACCACTTGCTGCTCGACTTTGGGGCGGCCGACATTGCCGCTCTGACGCTCCGCGTCGGCCGGGCCGAGTTTTGCCATTTCGTGGAGGGCAACTTCACGAAGTGGTGCGAGTGCGAGCGGCGCGGCGGAGGCGGCGGCGAGGGAGGGCGGGACGCGAGGGACATGCGGTCAGCGCCAGACCAGGCGTCCTCCTCCCAGGGGCCCGTCCTCACCTCTATCGACGCCAAGGCCGGGTCGGGGAGAGGCTTCGTTGCCGCCATCGTCATCAAGGGCCCGCTGCTTCCCTTCACCGAGGACGTCATCGCCCACTACGCGACCACACTGCCCTCCGACGTCGCGGTGGTCTTCTCGCACACCAACGGGCCCTGCTTCACCGCCGCGCGGCTGCAAACCTTGCGCCACCTCGCCAGGGTGCACCCAAACTTTGAGTGGACGATCAACGCCGCGCCGCCCAGCGACGGCGCCAATTACCGCAACGTGCAGCGGGAGTCGACGTACTACGGCGTCAGGTTTGCCGCCGAGGCGCTCGGCGCGCGCGACGTCTTGATGCAGCGCGCGGACTCGGTCTTTCAGAACGCAAGCCGCCTCTTCTCCGATTTGAGGCGCGTGCGGGACGCGCTGCCGCCTCCGACGGTGCCGATGCCGGGCGGGCGTGTGGGGCTGTGCCCAACGCAGATGCAGCTGACCGACACATACGGCCGCTTCCACCTCGACGACCACTGCATGTTTGGCTCCGCGGAGGCGCTCCTCTACTTCTGGGCGGTGGACAACGTCTTCTACGACCGGCGGGCAGAGGCGTGGTCGAGCGCGGCGATGGGAAACGCGCGGCGCGGCTGCAAGCTCCCGGCGGTCGAGTCAGACAACGGCTTCATCTGGGTGCGCGACGGCCTCGCGCGGCGCGGCATGCCGCCGCCGCAGTCGACGCGGGACCTGATTGCGCAGCGCGCCTTCATTCTCAACGCGGCCGCGTGGGGTCACGTCTGCCGCCGGCGGCGGACGAACCAGCGCCTGCACCTGCCCGTCGACCCGGACAAGTTCAACGTCCTTAGCCCTGAGATAGTTGGTCGTGCGGCGCCGCTCGGCGTGTACGCGCAGTGTACGGCGCGCGAGTTCACATACGACTGCGCGGGCGTGGGCGACGACGTGCAGGCGCGCACTGACACGCCGCGGTGGGCGTGCAGCGCGTCGAACACGCACTGCTGAGAGCGCGCTCTTCTCGCCCCACTAAAGACGGAGGGGTGCGCACGGGCACGCCACCCCGAACGCCAAAGGCTTCACACGGTATAGGGATATAGGACACCAATGCTCATGTGATTTGTGTGTGAGCTCTGTGCCTTAATCTGCGGCTAACAACGAACCTAAATGCTCATTGTGGGGAAGGCGGATCTATTTGGTGGTCAACGGCAGACCTATGCTCCTTGGAAAAAAACTCGGACCCACGTAGACAAGGAGCGCGCGCCAATGGCCGCCTCCGTGACACTCCCACCTCCTGGGCCGGCGCGGGAGTTTTACTGCCGAGTTTCTCCCGGCCGGCCGCCTCCTGACACGCCCACTGACCGAGCCCATCGAAAAAATTCGGCGCGCCGCACTGCTCTGACCCCTGCTCGCCACTGCTCGCCACTGCTCGCCACTGTCGCCTCGGTTGCCGAGGCTGCCGCGCACCCGCGCGCCCGCGTCGCTGCGCGACTACGAACTGCACCAGCTGGGCTCGAACCAATGACCAAAACGTCCCCGACCCGAACGCTGCACCAACTAGGCCACGCCGCAGGCTCGATTTGCAATACGCACAAAACTGGCCGCTCATAAAGCACTACTCATTTGCCGAGGCCACGCGGCGCCCCTCCACAGCCAGCCTACCCTCCTATCGCGCCACTCGAAGCCCCGCGGCCGCCTCTCGCCTACCGCGCTGCCCTCGCCTGCCACCGCACCGCCCGCGCTCCAGCCTAACCAGCTCTGCATCTCGCAACACACACTTGACAGGGACAGACCATGCCGGCCCATCGATGGCGGACCCATCGGTGCGACGGACGAAGTCGGAGTAGAGGGCTCGATCGCCGCAAAAGCTGTCGTCAAGGGACGGCACTTGAGTAGTACGGTTCCTCTGTATCAGACGTGAGGATGAGGGCGGTGGCGAGGGCGGCGCGATTACGGGTGGTGTTAAGGGTGCTGGAGCTGTAAGCCATTTGCTGCAGTGCCGCCGCGAGCTGCTCGTCCTCGGCCGGTGTCCACTTCCCTTGGCGAGATGGCGAGGTCTCCCCAGCACCGGCAGCCTGTGCTTTCTCTGCCTTCTTCTTTGCCGCCTTTGCAATGGTCCCTGCTCGGACCCTGCACTGCCCTATCCCGCGCTCTGCCGCTCTGCCGCAGAGCCAGTCGGGGGGCGCAGGAGACGCGCGCGTGGCCTCTTTCCCGCGCTGGATCGCCAATCAGCAGCCCGCGGCGCGGCTTGTCGTCGTGCCGTTCGCGAGGCGGAAGGTGGTGTTTGCGCACGTGATATTGGGAAGGCCCGGAGCGACGACCACGTGCATGGGCTGGGTGGGCTCGCTGCCATATACAATGGTATTGTTGGTGAGGATGACGTCCCTCAAGCCGAGGTCACCTTCTAGCCATTCCTGCTCATTGTACACATGGAGTCTATGCGCGCGCTCGACCAGATTGCCGTGGTAGGCGAGTCCGATCGCCTTGAGAAGACCCATCCTCGAGAAGCCGTCATGGAAATGATTGTTGCGCACGACGGCCCCCGCCGACGAGCGCCGTTCGAAATTCGCCAGATTCAAATCGTACTCGTACCCTTGTCCTTGTCCTTTCCCTTGCTCTTGTGGCTGGGGCTGGGGCTGGAGCTGGAGCTTGACGCGGTAGAGGGCGGAGGAGAAGGATTTGACGAATAGATGGGCGTTTTGTGGTGGCGAGTGCAGTGGCAGTGGCGAGGGTGGCGGCGGCGAGGGTGACGGCGGGGAAGCTGGCGGTGGCGGTGGCGGTGTGGGAGGCGGCGGGGCGGTCGAATATGACGAAGACGGTGGCGCCGATGGCGGGGATGGCGATGGCGGGAGTAGCACAGGCTGCGAGGGTCGCGGCGGGCTGGGCGGCGGCGGCGAGGGTGCCGGTGGCGAGGATGGCGGCGGCGAGGGTGGCGGCGGCGAGGGAGGCAGGGGGCTGGGTAGCGGCGGTTTGGGTGGCGGCGGGGCAGGTGGTGGCGGCGATGGTGGTGGCGGCGAGGGTGGCTGAGGCGAGGCTGGTGGCGAGGATGGTGGCGGCGCCGGCACCGGCGTGATGGGCGGCGGTTTGGAGGGCGGCTCGGAGGACGGTGCGGTGGGCGATTCCTGCGACGGTGTGGAGGGCGGCATGGACGGTGACGGCGGCGAGGGCGGCGGCGGGGACAGTGGCGGCGGTGAGGGAGGCGGCGGCGAGGGAGGCGGCGGCGAGGGCGAGAGCGAGGGCAGCCCCAGAGAGGTCCTTGGGACCCCCCACCGCCACGGGATGTGGCTGCTCGGCGCCGCCTCCGACTGCAGTCGCCGAAGGCGGGATGTCTGCGCACGCGGAGGCGACGTTAGTTGGTGTCTGTGCGGACGTTACAGAGGCGCGTTGTGTCTCCCCGCCCCCTCTCCAGCTCACTTTGGTTAAAGAGGAAGGAGAGCCCGCGCTGGATGTTCGGTGAGTCCCACAGTCGCGAATCCGACAACCCGTACCTGACTGGGAGAACTCTGTGGTGGACCCCCGGGGGGGGGACCGGCGCCTTCCTCAACGCCATCCCCATGCGGGGTGACATGCGAATGGAGACTTGGGCGATGCGTATTTCGGTGCAGCGCCGCCTGGGTCTCCCCCTCGACGTGGCCTGCCAGGCCGTGTCGGTGGGCAAGAAGACTCGAAACAAGAAGACCCACGACGAGTTCGGCGATGCTGCTGTCAATGTTCCTGACATCCGTCAGATTCGTGCTTTTCTTGTCTTGCGGTACATCTCTCCGGTTGTCACCTCACGCCTCGCCGTCCGGCCATGGATGGTTCGACGGAGCTCGGCGAGCTCCGTCGAGAACCATCCAACTCCGGTCACCGGGTCTGAACGCGCTCAGCCTCAGGAGGTACCAAACCGCGCGAATTCTGCACGCCTCGATGCACCGCTGGCTTGACTGAATCAGGCAGCAGCAGGCTGCTGCTGCTGCCGTCAGCAGCAGTCTGCTGCGGCCCCAATACGCAGGTTAATGACTAGCAGCACTGCCGGGGGCATACGAGCCGCCACAGCTGGTATGTGGTCGTGCACTGCCACCTGCCGCGGCTACGCACAATGTGCGCTCGCATTGGATGAGCCCTGCTGATGGACCTGCGTCGCCGAGCTGCGCGAGAGCAATGCCGCAGGCGGAGGCCGCGGCGTAGATTGCGAACACACGCGTTGGAGCTGTGAGGAGCACCGAGAGCAGGTCGTACCTGCCTCTGATGCCACTCTCGCGGCTTGCAGCGGGTCACTCGCGCATGCTCTCCAAGAGCTATGGCGGGCGCGTGTGTGGAGCTGTATAGCCTGTGTTTGGCCGTCCGACCCGTTCGCTAACAGAACCATGCCGGGCCACAAATAAATCGCACACGGGTAGCGGCTCAGGGGCCCAGTAAAATCGCCAAATGTCACAACCCACTTCACCCAGGGCCCTGTGGAGCCTGGACGCTGGACCTAGTCGACGCACGACGGTGACGCGCCCCGCGTTTTCCTTTTCGCAGGCCTCAGGGGACAGGGCAGAAGAGACTGAAGAGGACAGTGCGGAAAATACAGTGCCGCGTGAGGCGTGATTTCATTCAAGCTTTCTTAAAATAGGATTCCACAAAAGCGCACCCCGGTCACTGCCTCGCAGTCACTGCCCGCCGCCGCCGTCCAGCGCCCGCGTTAGGTGTGCGTGGTACTCGCGCCGCTGCGCCGTGATCACCGCAGGCGTCAGCGCGCTCACGGCCGCGCTCACCGCCTCCGAGAGGGGCTGTCCTGATGCCTCGGACGGCGCTCCGGCCACAATCGCGGCGATGGCGATCACATAGACACCGCAGTCGTGCCCGTTGGCCTGTTGCGGCGTCGGCAGGCACGCCACTGGCAGCCTCCCGGCCGAGTCGCCCGCCGTTTGCGGCAGCAGCAGCGGCGCCAGCGTCGCCGCGACCCGCTTTGCGTGGGCGAGGTTGGAGGCGAGCAGGCTGTCGTAGTACTCGAAGCGCGCCGCGCCGCCCTCCTGCCCGTGGCGTCGAAAGACAAGCAGCGACCAGTGCCCACCGCCCTCGGCCGCGTCGGGGTCCTCGTTGTCGTTGACCGGAATCAGCACGAGGTTGGCAGCGGCGAGCTCATCGGCGAGCGGCGTGGCGCCCCCTGTCGGCGCCACCGAGAGCATCTCGCGCAGCACGTCCGCATCGCCGAGCGTAGCCGCCGTGAAGGCCGTGGACGGCTCGAGGAGTACTACGCCGCCGCCCGAGCTGCCGGCCAGCCGCTCGAAAAAGTAGGCGATAACCATGTCGCCGAGCCATCCGCCCGGCCGCAGCGTCGCGACGTCGTGCGCTTGCAGCGTGATGTCGCCCAGGACAACCTTGGCTGCCATGTCGCGTGCTCTTTATAGTCAGCGGGTACCTCCAGGGGCCGGCGGAGAAGGCGGACGCAACCGATGACGCGACGTCACAGCCCCTCCGCTTGACAACTCGAGCATCCCGACGGATGGCGACTCGAGCGGCGGCGGTAGGCTATTGCACCTCGCCAACGCCTCTCGCGAAGCTCCTCTCCTCCTTCGCCGCTCGGCGCAAAATATGGAAAGGAAACGGCTCCCCCGTCCACGCGACGTACAAAGCGCTCATCACACCGGACTGGATGCAGGGCCGGACTACTTACGGCGGTCTGTCCGCCGCCCTCTGCCTCGAGGGCGCCCGACGCACGCTCAGCGACGAAGGGAGATTGGACTTGCCGCCACTCCGAAGCGCGCTACTCAACTTTGTCGACGCCGCCGCCGGCGCGGTTGAGATCGACGCATCGATCGTGCGCTGTGGCAAGGCGATGTCGACCGTGACGTCGTCTGTCTTCTCGGAGGGCAAGGAGGGCAGAGCGTGCGCCACGTCCGGGACCTTTGTGTTTGGCGCGCCGCGGCTGCAGAGCAAGGTCGAGGCGACGCGGCTGATGACGCCGCCGCCGGCAACGCTGCCGCCTCCTGCGGAGTGCGAGTCCATTTTTGCTGGCAGCTTCGAGCCGCCCGGCCCGACCGTGCTCTTCCCTCCTACCTTCACGCAGCACACGACCAGCCTGCTCGCGAGTGGGCCCGGGCTCGCCACTGCCGCGTCGAGCGGAGACCTGTACGTGTGGGTCCGCTGGAAGGGTGCCGACGCCGGCGGAGGCGTGGGCGAGGACGTGTCGCCCGACGTCTCCCTCCTCGCCCTCGCGGACGTGATCCCTCCCGCCTCGTACGCGCTCTTCGACAGCGTGGCGCCCGTCTCGTCCATGACGTGGCAAATCAACTTTCTCGACCCGCAGCCGGTCAGCTTTGAGGGCGGCTACTGGCTCATCCGCACCCGCGCCGAGCACGCGAGGCACGGCTACTCCTCCCAGGACATGGAGCTGTGGGGGGCCGGCGGCATCGCCGCAGTCAGCCGGCAGAGCGTCGCCATCTACGCGTAGCGCTGAGGACAGGAATAGAGCACCTGGTAGGAAAACCGACGGCGTCTCCAGTTGATGGAATCTGGGTTTGGAGATGATGGAGGGAAGATAGCCTGGGCGATTGCCAACGGCTGAAAATGGCTCCGACGGGTGTGCACAATCTTTCACCTGCGCCCGCCCCTCCCCGCCCCGGCCGCGGGCGACGCCGCCGCCCGCCCCCCACCCGCACACGGCCGTCCTCCGTTCACACGATCGTCCTCCGCCCGTTCTCGCTGGGTTGACCATCCCTGACACTTGGCCAAAATGTGTGCAAAGCCACTTGCGCTGCTCTGCGCGGCCCTGCGGCCGGACCCCGTGGGCTCCGCGTGGCCTGAGAGACCGGGCCCGATGGCCTGACACGCGCGTGAGCCGCCGATTCCACGGGAGACGCCTCCGAAGAGCTCCGAGGCACTGATCGCGCCCACTCTCGACCCCGTACGTACGCAGGCCCTGAATGTCTGATTTCTGCTGAGCTTCAAGGCGTGGGACTCGCAACGATGGCCTCGCGCAACCCTCGCCACATCTGACTTGCCCACTGCATACCTCGCGCAGGCGCTCTGGACGCTGCTCCACCGGAGAAGCGGCATGAGGCCCTCGCCGCCCTCGCCGCTCTTCGCACCGCGCTGCAGCCCGCGGCGCCGCCCGACGAACCGGCGCCGACCGCGCCGCCAGACATGTTCTTCGCCGTGGGCGACTCGTGCCGGCCCTCCGCCGGCGAGCACGCGATCGCTGCGCTGTCAATGCTCCTCTTCCTCGAGCCGCGGCCGCTCGTGCGCTGGCGCACGCGTGTGCTCGAGCAGAGAGAGGTGTACCGGCTCGCGCCGCACTGGGCGGCGCCTACCGACTGGCGCGTCGGCAGCGACCGGCCGCTCGATGTGCTCAACGAGGCGCTGCTCAAGGCCCGCTCGCACAAGGGCACGCTCGCCGTCGCCGTGCACAAGCTCGGCCTTTGCGCGTCGTGCCCGCAGCTGCGTGAGATGGAGACGTACTTGAAGAACGTCAGAGACGAGAACAGCGTCCTCCGCATCAAAGCGCTCAAAGGCCGCTACCAGAAGCGCAGCGTGCTGCTCGCCGTGCCCGCCGCCGAGCTGCTCGAGCTCTCCCGCGTGCGGCTCGAGCTGCTGCTCATGGAGGCTGCCGCCGCCGCGAGCCCGCCGCCCGTCAAGGAGATGAGGAAACCGGAGCTGCTTGCGGCTCTCGAGGACTCGCAGGCCAGGCGGCGCGCCGTCGGCGCGCAGCGCGACAAGCTTGCGCACCAGCTGCGGTCACAAGCGCGTGCGCGAGATGCCGACGTGGGACGCGCGGCGCGGCGCTGGCTAATCAGGCCAAGCTGGATTGGCTGCGAGAGCAGATCGAGATGCGCACGCGCGGGTTGCAGTGGGTCGAGTTCGCGGCGCGCTGGTCTTCCAGCACGGACGAGTACGTCGGCACCGTCGAGGAGCTCACGGGCCACCTCAAGGAGCTGATCGAGCACGAGCGCGACCTGCGCGAGAACGACGAGCTCCCCGACGTGGCGCCGCCGCCCGTCGTCAGGCGTAAGACCTTCAAGCAGCTCGGCACGCCCACTGCGCAGGCCGAGGTGCTGATGGCGGCGCGCGAGGAGCTCACGCCCGATGAGCTGCGCGAGGCGGCCGAGGACGAGCGCGACCGGCTGGAGGAGGCGGGCGAGATCGACCACGTCGCCGACGCGCAGCCCGAGCGCCCTCCAGATTTTGCCAGCTTGCTCAACGTCCACCTCGAGGTGCGCTGGCCGTATCGCGTGCCGGACCAGGCGAAGAAGCGCGGCTACAAGACCCACTACATCTGGGCGGAGGGCGAGGTGGTCGAGATTGCCGACGGCACGACTACGAAGCGCACGCCGCAGTGCAAGACGGTCCTTGCGTGGGGCGCGGTGCGCATCAAGTGGCCGAAGGACAGCCGCTACGACGAGGATGAGTCGTTCACCTGGACCGTCTTGGTGGAGGACTCGTGGCGCAAGGAGAAGCACCTCGGCTGGCGCTTCGCCAAGCCGGAGCTGGCGCGGCGCGGCGCGGCGGCACGCGCGGCAAAGCGCGCACGGGCTGACACCTCGTAGTGGGCGGTGCGCCACGGTGGGGTCACGGCAGGGGGTGCTCACACTGCGCGGCCGCTGCCAGAGCGCGAAATTTCGCGACTTCGTGCTCGTGTATCTTTAGTCAGAGACATGTCTGGAGGATAAGGAGTATAGCAGTGTGATCCCCGGCATTAGTACAGTCATTGCAGTGCGCTTTGTGGTTGTTCTGGGCATATTTTCATCTGACCCCTCTGGCCTACCATGGGCTCTAACAGGAAGAGGTTGGTGATATTTTCTTCTTTTTCTTCGAAATTTGGAGCACTTGGAGTGCAGTTGGCAACCTCACACCCGGTTTTCAGCCAGGTTCCCGCGCACCGGCCACGAACTCGACTCGCACAGCAAAAAAATCCGGTGCTCGCGCGCCGCTCCCACGCTTGACCACACACTCGCTGCACTGCTCCAGCGGCGAGGGCAGCGACGAGGGCAGCAACGACGAGGACAGCGACGACGAGGGCAGCGAGGAGGAGAGCGAGGAGGACGAGTAGTCGTTAGAGCAAGGGAGAGCTCGGGGAGACGGGGAGCGGCCGAGAACGCGGTGGCCTCCCTTCCCGGGTCGCTCGTGTGAGTCGCTCTCGGGAGCAGTGTGTGTGTCGGCTGTCGGAGTCGCGAGCGCGCGCGTGGGTTCGAGAGACCGCACGCGCATGTGCGGTGCGTGCGTGCGCGGTGCGCGGTGTGGGCCCCCGGGGGCGGTGGGGGTCGTTTTGAGAGCCTCGTTGAGTGGACTGGGGCGACTGGCTTGCCGATCGGTGATGACTTCGTGAGATCATGGTTTAAACAGAAATAAAGCCAGCTGAAGCGGCTTCAAGAAAATACCCGGAAAGGCCTGGTGCCAGGTGATATCACATGGCGGGTGCTCGGCCAGCTGAAGCCGAAGAAAATACCCGGAAAGGTCCCGGTCACGCGGATTTGTGATCACATGGCGGGTGCTCGGCCACCGGCCACGACCCACGATGCCCGACCGGAAACGCAATAATCTGAGGTCCCGGCAGGCCCGGACGGCAGCCCCCGCCAACGGGCTCCACCCGAAGCAGATTAACACGCGGCTCTCGCACGCAAGGGGCGCAGACGAGCTGCTGCACCTCTACGGCCAGCACGGTCCTTCAATGAACGACATCAACCTTGCGACCTGCTGGTCCGGCCTCGGCAGAGCTCGCGGCGCGGACCGAGCGCGGCTGCTGGGCGGCGACGGCGAGCGGCTTTGGGGACTCAGAGGCCAGACTGTGCAGCGCCTGCCAACCTTTTCGAGCGTCCAGGGGCTGGCAAACATTGCGCACGCCGTGGGCAAGCTGAGGCCGAGCGGCAGCGCCTGGGTCATCATGTGGAACGAGTTGGAACGTGCGGCGCTGCAACGAGCGATGGAGTTTAAGCCGCAGGAGCTCACGAACATATTGTGGGCTTTCGCGACAGCTGCGGTGCCGGCTCCTCAGCTGTTTGACGCGTTTGCTGCCCTGGCAGCGGAGGGGGCGAGCACCTTCAATGCCCAGGACCTGGCCAATGCGGCATGGTCGTTCGCGACCGCCGGGGTCGAAGCTCCGCGGCTCTTCGACTCGATTTGCGCTGAGGCTGCGCCCCGGCTGAGCGAGTTCACCGCGCAGAACTTAGCCAACACGGCATGGGCGTTCGCGACGGCAGGGCACGCGGCATCCACGCTCTTCCACGCAATCTCGGCGGAGGTCATTCCGCGTCTGAACGAGTTCAACACGCAGGAGATCGCCAACTTGGCGTGGGCCTACGCCGAGATCGGCTTCGCAGCACCGATGCTGTTCCACGCGCTTGCGGCGAGGGCCGCGGCTGTCCTGCGACACTTTAGCGAACAAGGCCTCGCCAACACGCTGTGGGCGTTTGCGACCGCCGGCGTCGCAGCTGTTCGACATGCTGGCCGCGGAAGCGACGGCGCGGCTCTCGGAGTTCTCCAGCCAGAAATCGGAGTTCTCCAGCCAGAACTTGGCAAATACGGTGTGGGCCCTGGCGACGGCCGGTCACCGCGCGCCCCGTCTTTTTCACACGCTCGCCGGGGAGGCGGCGCGGCGGCTGCGCGAGTTCAGTGCACAGGGGATCGCAAATACTGCATGGGCGTTTGCGACTGCCGGAGAACCGGCGCCCCAGCTGTTTGACGCGATGGCTGCGGAGGCCGCGCCTCGCCTGCATGACTTCAACGCGCAAAACCTGGCGAACATGGCTTGGGCCTTCGCCAAGGCGGGAATGCCGGCGCCCTTGCTCTTTGAGGCGCTGGCGGCCGAGGCGCCAGCCCGCCTACACCAGTTCAGCGGGCAGGGTCTCGCCAACACGGCGTGGGCGTTGGCAACGGTCGGCCACTCCTCGCCGGCGCTGTTGGATGCCATCGCGTCTGAGGCGGCCTCGCGAATGGGCGGGCTAATATCGCAGGACCTCGCGAACTTGGCGTGGGCGTACGCAGCGGCGGACCACCTCGCACCGGCCCTTTTTGGCGGCCCCGCTTTCGTCGTCAGCCTCTGCAACTGCTGTTCTGGCCTCGTGGTGGAGGAGCTGTCTCAGCTGCACCAGTGGCAGGTCTGGCTCCGGGAGCGCGGCGTGGACTGGCCGCAGCTTCCCCTCCCTCTCAGCCAGCGCTGCTGCGAGGCCTTCCACAGCGTCGAAGTTACGCCATCGCGACTGCAAAGCGACGTCGCCAGCACGCTTCGTTCCCTCAACCTCTCGCCCATGGAGGAGATGCGCACGATGGATCAAATCAGCCTCGATGCGGTTGTCACCTATCGCGGGCACAACGTGGCGGTGGAGGTGGATGGGCCGTTGCACTTCTTTGGCCAGCGGCCCACCGGCGCAACGGCCCTCAAGCGGCGGCAGCTGCGCGCGGCGGGATGGCCGCTGGTCTCAGTTCCGTTCTGGGAATGGGACCGGCTGGATGGCATCCACGCGAAGTGCGAGTACCTGCATTGGAAGCTGGAGGCCGCGCTGTATGACTATGAGCACTCGTGAGACCATCGCTCGTGTAATTTTCCGTTTCCACTTTTGGTTCTTAAAGCACACATGCACATGCGACATGGCTCTCCGGTCTCGCCACATGCTCTCTCGCCCCCCCCATGCCTGCCTGGCACTTCAGTCTTCACTCTTCAGTCTCTTCAGTTTCGCGTCGCGTAACTACAAGACTATCGCAGTGTGCAGATAAATAAATAAAGGCAGGGTGCGCGAGGGTGGCTGGTGGTGGACAAACGTGTAAAGCAGCTACGAGCCACCAGCGTCACGCCCCTCGTCCCGTGGCCTCCCACGCCCACCCCGCCCGCCACCGCCGCCTCCCGGTGGGGAATCCTCCCCGTCGGGTGCGACGGGCTGGGCGGCTTGAGCCTCGAGCCGCTCGAGCCGCTTGCGAAGCACTCGTAGCTCCTCGGCCGAGTCCACCCACAGGAGCGGGAGGCGCGGCTGGGGCCCCGTCGGTGCCCCCGCCAGCCCCCGAGGGAGGGGGCTCTGGCCCAGAGCCATCCTTTGCCTCTGCGGGCCGTACGTCTTGGTCAGCGTCGGAAGCGCGCTTTGGCGCGGATTTGCCCATATCGTTGGGCGCACGGAGGGAAGGAGAGGTGGGCTCCTGCCCGAGAAGGTCGCGGGACCTGCGCAGAGCTCGCTCTGCGTGATGCCGCTCGAGCTTGGGCGTGCACGCAAGGGGTCACGCGCAAGCAAGAGCAAACAACTGGGAAGTTCACAGCTGAGTTTGCCCAGAGAACGCCGTTCCCACCCAAAACAGCGCCTGGAGTGCCATAAAATCGCAAGCCCCCGAATGTCTTCTCCCTTCTTTGCTTTCACTAAAGCTGTTGTCATCGCCGTCCTCTGCCGCTGGGCACTTCGGCGGTGGATAGCGCAGCGGCGAGATCAGCTCTGCAAGGTGGCACGCTCAAAGACGATTGCGATCCGGCGAACGGCCGAAAAGCCGTCTCAAGTCTCCGATCCAACGTTGGGCACGGTGGCAGCCGCGATGCCAGATGCGAAGTGCAAGGACGTGCGGCCGGTTGGAGAGGCTCGCTTCAATAGAGTACACACAATCCCCGAAAAATCAGTCAGGAGCGATGCCAACGAGAGGCACGTCAGGAAGCGCCTTGCGGAAGCTACGGAGGACTTGAGGTTGCAGACACGGGCGAGGCTCAAGGCAGAATTGGTAGCCAATATTGCCGCTGCAGAGGCGGCCATGGCAGAATTGGAGGCGAGGGCTGCGGGCGCTGAAGCTAAGGCGGCGGAGACAGTAGCCGAGCTCAAGGCGAGTCGTGCGGCGCAGCAATCGCTCGCTGCGGCGGGCAAGGCTGACGTGGAGCGGCTGACGGGTGAGCTTGCGGCGGCGACGGCCGATGCCGCCGCTGCGCGCGAGGGTGCATCGGCGGCGGCCACCGTTGAGGTTAATGCGGAGCGTGCACGAGCCGACGCCGCTGAGGAGCGTGCCGCCGCGGCGGCGGCGGAGGCGGAGGCGTCTGCTGCGACGGCAGCGGCGGAGCTGGCGGAGGCGAGGCAGGCGGCGGCGGGCGCTGAAGCTAAGGCGGCTGAGGCGGAATCGGCGCGGCAGTCCGCTGTGGAGGCAGCAGAGGCGACGGCGGCCGCTTTGGGCTCTGCGCGCAAGGCTGCAGCTGCGGCCGCAGCGACGGCGGAGGCGAGGGCAAGCGCGCTGGAGGCGAGGGCTGCGGGCGCTGCCATGGAATTGGATCGCGTGCGTGGCGAGTGCGCATCTCTAGAGGTGATGGTGGCCGCAGCGGCTCAGAAGGCGGTGAGCGAGGCTTCGTCGAGCTGCGTGGTGGCGGGAAAGCAGGCGGCTGAGACGAGGGAGAAGATGATGATGGGCGAGGAGGCGAACGGGGTACGGATGGTACGATCTGCCTCGGAACAGGCAGAGGTACTACCCGTGAGGCTCGACTACTTTCGTGCGATGTTCACGACATTTATCGTGCGAGTCTGCAGCCGGTCGGCGTCCGACGTGAAGGTGGCCGTCGAGATGGCTCCGGCGATGGTGCACGTTTTGGGGCTAGGAGCAGACGATGCCGCGAGGGTGGAGGGCGCATTGGAGGGGCTGGGCACGCAGGCAACCTCCTGGTGGGGGTTCGGAGCATTGGAGGTGGCTGCCGATGCATCCTTCAGTCCTTGGACCCCATCCCTTCCCTAGGGCCTCTCCTTGACTGGTTCACTGTGTCGTTCACGCCCGCTACCGATGCTCCGGCGCGTCCCCGTTGGCGCTGTATGCCTAAAGCCGTATCTAGGCAGCCGGGCTGGCCGCAAACTAAATCTAAAATCTCGCACCTGCGATCCACACGTACCCTCGTGCCTCGACTGTGCACAGTGCAGCCGCTCTTTAGACACCTTGATCCTTTACCATGTCGACGCTCAACACACTGATTGTCGCCAATGAGAAAAACAAAAAGTAGGCGCAATCAACTGGGCTTGGGAGCGCGACTGTATAACGCGCAACGGCCTTCGCCCTAAGAAACGTGTGTCACAACACAGTCGCGCACAAAAGAGATAGGTGATTTTTTTGGCGCTCAGTACAACCTGGCTTCTCCAATCCTTGAATATGTTTCGCTCCTCGCTTCACTTCCATTAGCATTACATTTTCCCACAAAAAATGCTATGTACTTGCGTCGCGCAGGGCGCAGCGTTCTGCTGCGGCGTGGCCAGTGGCCGCGGCGATGCCCCCCCCCCCCCCCCCCCACACACACACACCCCACCCGGGGCCAACCACCCACCCCCACACACACACCCACACCGAGCGGCGCGCCCGAGAAGAAGCTCGGCGAAGGGGCGCCGGCGCGCTTACCGTAGCCGCCAAGTGACTGGGCGGGTAGCACTCCCCCCCCTCGTCGCCGCCGCTTTCGATAGATGCCAGCAATCGCGGCCAGTGCGCGTGTGGGTGAGCGTCTGTGTGTGCGTGTGCATGTGCGTGTGCGTGCGTGCGTGCGTGCGTGTTTGTGTGTGTGTGTGTGTGTGTGTGTGGGTGGGTGAGGAGGGGGAGGGGATCACGTCACTACATCCTCTGCCGGTTCCTCCCGTCGCCTCTTTTTTTTCGAATGCTTGTCAGTCCCTCCTTCACGAAGCCTTCCCATGTAGCCAGCGTCCTCTGCGAATGCCTCGAAATGACCAGCAGGCGTTGTCTGCTCACAGAAGGTGACATCAGGCAGGCCGCTTTTTCTTTGCACTGAAGGCTCGGTCCGGAGGCGGGTGCGGTGCCGGCGGATGCGGTGCCGGCGCATGCGGTGCCAGCGCATGCGGTGGCGGCTTTGGCTGCGGCGAAGCAACCACCCAGCCATCCAACGGAGCATGCCAGAATGGATGGTACACTACCACCGTTGCTCGGCTCAGCGTCGCGGGGACGTACGAAAAGGACGACATCGACATGATGAATACGTCGCAGTCGATGGCGTGTTGCCACACCTCTTGGGTTAACGTGTCGAGCCTCAGGTCGTATCCAAGGCTGAGAAACGCGTCGAACCGCTCGTGCGAGACTGCTTCACTGAAGATGATCACCTCGCTGGTGTTGCGACGATACTTCTGGATGTGCTCCAAGTAGTAGCTGTTCGGAAGATAGCGCTCCGGGTGGGAATGTGGGTTGACGTCTCCGCGGCGGATGTGCACCACGATGCGATGCTGTTGTGCCGACCTGGTGCTGCTGTGCCGACGATGCGTTGCTACGTGCCTTTGGGCGATGGAACGCACCGTCGACAGCCAGGTGGGCCGTCGTAAATATTTGTCGTGTCGATAAACGCGGCTTGGTGTGTAGCATTCGGTCACGGGTGGGCAGTCCGAAGGCAGCACAGTCTGCAGCCCTGTCGCTGCAAGCAGGCGAGCCCTGTCGAGACGGGCCTGCTGAGCTGACACCTGCAGCAAGATTGTCCCGACAGATGCAGCATCGCACGCCCCGCAGTATTGGCGATCTATCGAGGCCGCAAATGCCGACGCATACAGCATGTCGTGGATGGAAGCTCCACCCCGATCGGACCGAGCTTTTGACCAGATGCAAGTGCCGTTTCCTCTCCCAACGCCACCATTCGCCGTGCACTTGGACAGGACGGCAAGCCTGAGCAATCGACCGATTGCTGCGCGTCCAAGCAGGAGGAGGCAGGCGAGCACGGCCAGCACGGCGGAGGAGCGTCTAACTGAGCACAAAACACCCATGTAATGGCTGACAAGGTGCCCTTCGGCGTGCAAATCGCTCGCATTTGGCGATTCTTTTTTCTTTTTTCGCCGTTTCTCGATTCTCTCTCGGTGGATATCCTTTGGCCGCGTTGGGTAGCGAGGATTGGTGTGGCGCGATCCACGCAGGCGTGTTTTCTGGCGGCCGACCGTCAGTGCACGGAGTTGCCCCTTCTCCGACTGCCCCCCCCGGCTAGTTCACGAGTTTCGCGGGAGTGACCCCATCCATGCCCCATGCGTCAAACAAACCCCGAGACCTAGCGCGGGTGGGTTGGAGGGGGCTCGCTGCAGGGAAGGGCGGTGTAAGTAGCCGATCCCCGTAGTCCGCCCCACTCCTCCCCATCGGGCCGCATGAGCGGCCGCGCCTCGCAGATTCGTTTATCGCGCCTGGGTCAGGCGCGCGGGGCATCCCCCGGGTCGCTCGACCAGCGATCCGAAGAGTGGCCGCTATGCGAGGGAAAGAGCGGGGGCCCTCGACGCCTCTGTCCGGCCCTCCGAGGGGGGGAGGGAATTGCGGGGTCCCCACGGGCGCCTCACTCAGTCGGCCCTCCCGAGGGGAGGGGAGCAAGGGGGTGGGGGGATCGGGGCGGTGGGGAGGGGTCTCGGTTTCGTGAGGCTAATACTTGCCTTTCGGGGAGGGGCCATTTATTGTTGGTCTGAAAGACAAGTCCCCGAGGTGTTTGTGCCGCGTCCCGTGCCCCCGAGTTCATTTTTGAACTTCAGTCATCTTCTGACGCCCACTCCGATCATTTGCCGCCAAGTCATGTCGTTGCTCAGGTCCACTCTCTCTTCGAAGACTCGAACCTCCACGGATGATGTTGGCGCTGGGGTCCCCTTCGGGTGCATCGTGACAGCTGATAATAGGATTCCTATATAAGTAAGGGGAAGGGGATTGCTGGTGATGTGTCGTCGTCCATCCTCTGTTCTTCTCTCGCTCCTCTGCCCGTGCCTAAAAAGAAAGAAAGAAGACCGACAACCCAAGGGAGGGATGGGAGGACGCGCCTTAATAAATAAATAAATGAAACCCGAAGGTTTTTTCTTTTTGCCGCCGCTGGAGTTGACATGGTCCCCCGGGTGCAAGAGGCGACGCCGGGTTGGATCGTCGGCTTCGACGCCTTCGACGCGCACGAGGCGCTCTGCTCTCTCGTCGCTTCGGCGCTCTCGCCGCTCCCGCGTGGCTCGTGGCGGCTGGTAGCCCGGCCGCCGCACTGGCCTCGGCTGCCGACCGACTTTGTCGCGATCGAGGTGACGGCGGCCGCCGACGTGGGGTCCACGTCCCGCGCGGCCCGCCGGCTCCTCACCCAGCAGGCAGGCCGCATCGCGGGCTCGCGCACGCGTGTGCGAGGCGTCTGGCCGCGCCGCTGGTACACTGCAGAACGTCCGTCGCCCTCGCCGGCCGGCGGCGGCGGCCCTCGCCGGCGGCCCTTGGGCTCGTCGGCCTCGCAGACCCAGCCCACCTCGCGCGACGTGACGGGCCGCGGCAAGCAGACGCCGTACAACTTCATCACCAAGGCGTACAACGCGAGCCGCTGGTGGTCACGCGACGCGACCGGTGAGTGGCAGTCTTGCGCGAGACGCTTCCGAGACACTTGCGAGAAAAGTTCCTGCGCTGCCCGCCCGCCACGCGCACGCTCTGGAGCCGCCGCCTCGAGTCGCGCCCACCACATGTCCGCGCCGCGTGCGAAGGCGGGCCCCTCGCGCGCCCATGAGCATGCGCGTGGCAATCGCACCCCAGCACCGGCCCCGGCGGTGTCGGGCACCGCTCAGGCCTATACCTGCACCTGTGCCTGCACCTGTTCTCAGGCAAAGGGCTCAAGGTTGCTGTCTTCGACACCGGGCTCAACCCGAGGCAGAACTACCTGCGCGACGTGGTCGAGGCGGTGGACTTCACGCCCGAGCGCAACACCGCCGACGTGGGTGACTTAGTTGGAGAGGTGAAGACACAGTCAGGTCGCCGGTCACCACACCGCGCTACATGGGTGGGACACAAGCGAGACGGAGAGGCGGCCACACGGGTGCGGCACACAGACACACAGACTAGACACTCAGCCAACTCGCCTGCCACGCGTCCGGAGCGTACGCGTGGCCGGCCACCCCGGCAAGCGGACCTGTCTCCGAACCTTCTCGGAGCCTTCCTGCAGGTGGTGGGCCATTCGTCCTTCATGACGGGCGTCATCGCCTCGCGGTGCGCCTCCGGGACACTTCCGAGACACTTCCTAGACACGGATACATCCTAGGACCTTCCTAGGACCTTCCGACACAGACACGCCTCCGACACGCCTCCGACACGCCTCCGACACGCCTCCGACACGCCTCCGACACGCCTCCGACACGCCTCCGACACTCCGAGACTCTTCGCAGACACTGTACCGAGGCGCAGTCGTGCGTGTCTCCACGCCTGGCACACCCTCTGCCTCCCTCTCCAGCCCGGCGGCCCACACCGTGCCGCACACGTCGTCCGCGACACGTCCACGACACGTCCACGACACGCCCACAGGCGCGGGCTGGACGACGCCGCTGGAGCGGCGAGGCGCGGCGTCGACTGCGCGGGCTTCGCGCCAGACGCCTCGCTGTACGTGCTGCGCGTCTTCACCTCCAAGCAGGCCTCGGCCACAGACTGGTTTCTCGAGGCGTTCAACCACGCGCTGCACCGGCGCGTCCACCTCATCAACCTCGCCGTCGGCGGCCCCGACTACCGCGACACCCCGTTCGTCGACAAGGTGTCGCAGCTCGCTGCGGCGGGCATCACCATCGTGTCGGGCGCAGGCAACTCCGGCCCTGGGTGGGGCTCGCTGATGAACCCGGCAGATGACGCGGCCGTCCTCGGCGTGGCGGGGCTCGACAAGGACGGCAAGCTCGCCGCCTGGTCGTCGCGCGGAATGACGCTGTGGGAGGAGCCTCTCGGCGCGGGCCGCGCCGGCGTCGACGTCATCACCCATGGAGAGTTTTGGGGCGCCGACCAGCACAATGCGTGCCAGCACCAGTGGGGGACGTCGGTCGCTTGCCCGGTCGTTGTCGGCCTCCTCGCGCTCCTCCTCTCCTCGCTGCCGGAGCGGCAGCGCAACACGCTGCTCAACCCGGCGGCGCTCAAGCAGGTGGTGTACGCGGGCTCCTCGCCGCTGCCAGACTACGGCTGGCTCGAGCAGGGGGCCGGGCTGCTTGACGCGCCGGCGACGGAGGCGGCCGCGCGCGCCTTCGAGCCGCACGCGTCTGCCGTGCCGTCGGTGCTCGACTTGCGGCCGACGGTCGGGTGCCCGTACTTGTGGCCGCTTTGCGACATGCCGCTGTACGCGACCATGCAGCCGCTTTTCGTCAACCTCACGCTGCTCAACTCGCGCTCCGCCACTGCCGCGTTCGCCGCGCCGCCCCTGTGGCGGCCCCGCGCCGGGGGGCACGCCCTCCACGTCTCGTTTGCGTACGACGACCACCGTGGCCTCTCGGCGCACCGAGGTTTCCTCGGGGTGCGGCTCTCCGTCTCCTCCTCCGCCTCGGGTTGGGCGGGCGAGGTGGAGGGCGAGCTCGTGATCACGCTCGTCGACACCGCGCTCGCCGCGAACGGCAGCGCCGCCGCTGCCCGGCCCGCCGGCTCGCCGCACAGCGTGGTGGTGCCATTGCGTGCGACGGTGGTGCCGACGCCGCCGCGCCGGAAGCGGCTGCTCTTCGACACGCTCCACTCGAGCGCGTACCCAAACGGCTTCTTCCCAAACGACGACCTCTCCCAGCTGAGCGTCGAGCTGATGGACTGGAACGGGGACAGCCCGCACACCAACTACGTGCCGCTCTACGCCTCGCTGCGCGCCTCCGGTTTCTACGTGGAGAGCCTCCGCGCCGACCTGACCAGCTTCGACGCCAACCTCTACGGCGCGCTGCTGCTGCTCGACCCGGAGGAGCCCTTCCTTCCCTCCGAGCCCGCCAAGCTGCGCGCCGACGTGACCAGCCGCGGGCTCGGCCTCGTGGTCGCCGCCGACTGGCACGCCCCGGACCTGATGGCGAGCCTCGACTACACCGACGAGGCAACCAAGCAGCGGCGCGTCTGCGGCGCCGGCGGCGCCAACGTGCCCGCGCTCAACGAGCTGCTCGAGCCGCTCGGCATTGGCTTTGGCTCGCAGGTCTACTCGGGCACCTACCGCCTCGGCGGCGGCGCCGTTGCCCACCTCTCGGGGTCCTCTCTCCGGCGCTTCCCCGCGGGCGGGCGGCTGGTCTCGGCGACGCTCTCGCGCGGCGTCAAGCGGGGCGACCGCTGGCTGGGCGGCGAGAAGGGGGGCCGCGAGGAGAGAGCCCTGCTCGCGCGGCGCGCCCGCCTCAGCGACGCGTCGATGACACGTCCACGACACGTGCCTTTCAGGTGCCCGTGCTCGGACTGCACACGCTCCCGCACGGGCACGGGTGGGTCGCGGCCCTCGCCGACGCCTCCTGCCTTGACGACTCCGTCCCGCCGCGCGCCACGCCGCGCACCACCAGCTGCCGCGCGCCGCTCGTCGCGCTACTCAGCGAGATGCTCGAGCCGCCCGCAGGAGGGGAGCCGCCCGCGGCGGCGACGGCGCGGCTCGGCGGCGCGCCTTACCGCGCGCCACCCCGCGCCGCCGCCGCCGCCGCCCGCTCCCGCAACGCGTCCCGCACCTCTCTCGAGCACCTCTACGCGGCGCGCGGCGCGGATTGGGCGCCGCCGCTGCTCGCGCGCGTGCCGCGGCTGCGCGCGCCCTACCTCGACGAGGCGCTTCCCGCGTGGGGCCGGGTGCCGAGGCGGCGCGCGAGGAGGCGCCGCTCACACCGCGAGCCGTCAGTAGGCTCCCTTCACGCCGGCCCTCACCGAGGCGCAGCAGGGCGCCTTCGTCTCGCAGTCGCGGCTGCTGGGGATCCTACGCGGCTGCACCGTCGACAACGCGTCGTGCCGCACGCCGCTGGTGCCGCGGCCGACGTGGCGCCTCGCCAGGCCGCCCTCGGACCCCCTCGGTGGGGAGGACCTTCCCACGGCCGGCGGCGCGGGCCGCTTCCGCGGCTACACGGTCACGCTGGCCCTCTCGCTGCTCGGCCTCGGCGCCATCTTCGCCATGGTGCCTCGAAATCGGCGACGGCGGCGGCTCGCGCGGGCGGCGGCCGCCGCGGCCGCGCTCGAGGAGCCCGCCGACGACGTGCGCGGCGGAAGCCATTCGTGCTCAAAGCGAGGCGTCCTCCGCGTGGATTGGGGCATGTCCTGACCGGAAGCGGAACCGCGCCGGCGCGCTGGCACACCTCACACCCCAGGGGGAAACGAGCGACGATTCTTGCCTCGTGTAGGCCTATTTCCTATAGCGCGCACACCAGCACTGTGTCTGGCGCAGTATTAGCACGAAACCCCATGTTCTCCGTTAAAGCGCGACCGCGTGCACGAGCCGGCCGTCCGAACCTCCTCCCGCCCCGTGATGGTGCCCGGCCACCACCTCTGCTCGCCCGCCAGGATCTCCATCTCGACGTGCCCTGGAGCCCGCGAGCGATTCGCCGACTCCCGATTCGCCGACTCCCCACTAGCGCCCGCCACGGATTTCTGCCCCCCCCCCCCCCCCCCATCCCTCCCTACTGGGAGAGAGAGAGATTGTTTTTGTCCTACTGGAGCAGGTACTCGTACTCTGGGGAGAGCGCCACGAGCGTCTTCTCCAGCACGTGGCACGCAAAGTCGCGCGGCGCGCCCTCTGCGTGCTCCACCTGGTGGCAGGTCCACAGCAGCGGGATGACGCGCCCATCCTTGGTTGCGGTGCGCGTCGCCCAGACCGTCGCCGATGTCGGCGGGCTGTGGCAGTAGCCGCGCCACGCCTTCGGCTGCGGGGAGGCCGGGCGCAGCCAGGCGGAAGCGTGGCAGGTGAGCAGCACCTACGAGGGCGGGGCCGGGAACCCCTAGCGACTCCTGCTACGATCTCTTGCAACCAGAGTGAGGAGCCGAGTAGTAGAAGAGGTAGAAGCGGGAGCGGTTCCCGCGCCGCAGGCCACCTCGGCCGCACAGCTCCGCACGACCCCGCGAGACCTCTGACGCGAGATCTCTCTACTGGATCTCGGCCGCGTTTCTCGGCGTGCGCCTCCTCGAGGGTGAGTAAGCTAAAAGTACGACACTTTCAAAACAGGATGTGCAAGCCACGTGGTAGGGATCCGGATCCCGAATTAAAGGAGCACAACGCATCCTTCGCCAATCTCTATAACCAGCACGCCACGCGCTCTATACTGCGATTATCGGCAACAATGGAGCAGATCTCGACTTGGGGCGAGTATGACAGCACTGGGCAGTCGGCCCGGCCGCTGGCCACTGTCAGCCACGGCACCAACCAGCTCTCTGGATACGGCAGCTACGAGCAAAACGTCGGCTCGTCTGCTCGTCGGCTCCCGCCAATAAACTTGACAACGTCACCCACCCCGGCGGCAGTCGCCAGCGAGGTATGCACTGATACTGGACTAGGGCTTGACAGTCACCAAGCACGTGCCACCGTGTTTACCGCTGCTGGGGCCCTAGCCGCGGGGGCATCCAAGGCGGCCGCCAACGCGGCCCCGAAGCGGAGCTTTGACCCCGACTTGATTCGGGCGATCCAAGTCACATTTGCGCCATCGCTCAACGCCGAAGTGCGCCCCCCTCCCTGGAAGCGATATGCGCCTGCTCCGGCTGACATATGGGATATGGCAGGTGCACGCCGCCCCCCTGCATAGGCTGCATTCTTGAGTGTCTAGTGAGTTTGCGTGCCTGTGTGTCGCGCGCGCGCGCGCGGCGCGCGTGTCGAGTGTCGTTCTTGTCTGCGCTTAAATCGGTAAAATTTGTCCCGCTACTTGTGGTTGTGCCCGCCTAAAAAATTTCCGCGTCGCACAACACTGGGCACGGGAATGGCGCTACGGGCCCGCCGCACAACACTGGGCACGGGACTGGCGCGCACTGGCACGAAAACAGATACGGCTCTACCTCGAGGACGAGGTACACCAGTCACCACACCACACGCACGGTAGAGAGAGCGCCAAAAGAAATGAAACCGTGCGCCAGAGCAGATATATCACGTCACGCTCGAGACCGCCGCGGCAACGGCCAAACGGCCCCGACGACTCTGTCTCGTTGTGTGCCGATGCGCCTCGCGGACATGATCAACAGTCTCTCCCCCACCCACTCTCGAACTCAATCAATGAATGTCTCAACGCGTGTCGATCGATGAGCCTCCCCGATGCGCATGACGACAGCCGCGGCCGCCTCGCTGCACGGCGTTCGGAGCGGCGCCCCACCCGCACTCAGAGCTCACGGCTCGCAAAAGTCGTGGATGGTGAGGAGACGGAACCCGACAAACTCGCCTCTTGCGGTCTCGACGAAGTCGGCCGCCTTGTGCTCAACCTTCACCTCTGGGCGCTGGTGCTCGGTCAAGCCCGAGAACATCGTGTATAGAAGGGGAAGCACGCGAACTTCTGCTTGACGTGTGCCTCTTCTCCCGCTGCGATCTCGCGGATCCAGCGCTGGTAGTCTGGGTCGTCTGGGTTGTCATAAAGCGCTTCACCGTCGACGTCAGGGTTCTCCTCGCAATACTGCTCCATCAGCGAAGTATCGTCCAGGCCGTGGCCGCCCTCCCGCCAAGACACCGTCATGCGTGTGCCACCAGGCGTGGCCATGGCCACGGTCAAGTAGGCCGCCTTGTTGGACATCATGTGCTTGAGTTCGAACTCGCACGACGTTGGCACAGACGGCACTGATCCTAGAGAGGGGGGAGGGCGGGGCGCGTGCGCTTCCCATGCGCGCCCGCAGATCCGCAGGTGGGAGAGAGAGAGGCAGCGCGCCAACTTGAGCTTCCCATACCGGCACCGTCCCGTTGTAGCCGTACATGCCGTCCGACAGCGACGGCTCCGTCTCAATCTGAAACGACTGCTCGAGTTGGTATCGGAGGATGTCGCTGCACTCTGGGGGCGCTCCCACCCGTGCGAGCACTTTGAAGCGGCCGGCGGAAAGTGCGGCACCGAGCCCGACGAGGAGAATGTCAAAGACATCGTCGCGCACGCTGCTGCCATCCACATACGACGCGAGTGGGTAGCGCTCAAGGGCGGCCAGCCATCCGTCAACCACGTCGCAGCGTTCGAGGCCCTTGACGGAGGCGGCGACGGACGGCAGGGTGAGCCGGCTGCGCTGCGAGCGCACCACTCGGAGCAGGCCACTGCATGTGCTCTCGAGGCGTCCAGCGGCATCTTGCGGCAGCAGGTCGGCAATCACGCCAATCTCCGCATCGGCGAGGACACGAAAGAGGCCCATCGAGTCGACTTGAGCCTTCACCTTGCTCGCGCGGCGCGTGGTCACCATGGCGCGGGTGGCGGAAGGCAGAGTGCTGGTGCGAGAGGCTTCTTCTGGTGCAGCAAAATGCTGTGCTGAGCGTGCCAAAAAGAAGTTTTTTTCGGCGTTTTAGTTTGTGCTAGTGAACTGGAGGAGAAGCGGGTCGAGCCTCCCCGCCGCTTTGTGCGCGGGACCTCCGAGCGCCACGAGGCTCCTGACACAGCTCCCGACTAGCGTCGGCTCCTGCTCAGACAGGCGCCAATCGACCAGTTCTCAAAAGCGCGGAGGCGGCGCTACCCGCCGGCCCGCCGGCGACGCACGCTGCAGGCGCCCCGGCGCGCAGGGCAGCCAGGCCGAACCAAACGACTACCGATGCCGGCAACGTCAATGCTCTCCTCCGTGCAGAAGGCGCTGCGCAACCTCCTCGTCGGCGACGGCGAGGTCGTCCCCGCATTTTTTTCCCGCTGCAGCAGGCACCCAAGCCAGACGCTCGCGCGCCGCACTGGTATGATCACTCGTCTGCTTGGCGAGCTGGGCGGCGACCTTGTTGCGGAGGAGAGCTGCCTTGTCTGCTTGGAGCCCGTAAGCTCGTCCGCGTGCGTGCGATGCTCGGCGCCGCCGCACCACGTGCTGTGCGACAGCTGCTTCCTGAGCCATGTGGACTCCGTCCCCGAGCCGCGCATCCGGGCGTGCCGCGGCCGGGTCCCGTGCCCTGGCGACGGCTGGCACGACTCGCACTTTGGGCCCTCCGAGATCGCCAGCGTCGCCTTGAGGTGTGACGGGCCGCGGCCGCTCGAACAGATGCTCGAGAAGCTTCTGCCGCGGCCGACGGACGACCCGGCCCTGCCCGGCGGCGGGGCGGAGGCGCCGCGGCTCGCACAGCAGCTCCTCCTCCGCGTCACCATCTCGTGCCCGTGGTGCGCCGCCGTCGTCGACCCGGACCCAGATGGCTGCCGCGCGATGCGCTGCGGCGTCTGCGGCTTCTACTACTGCTGGCTCTGCTTCCACAAGGAGCTGACGAACCAGGCCATCCACAGGCACGTGCGGGACGCGCACGGCGACCTGTTCGTCGCCCAGCGCGCAGTCGACCTCGCCCACGGCGCGTGGAGGCGGTCGGTGCGCTCTCCCTCTCCCGCCGCCCTCTCTCCCCTGCCCGGCAGCAAAGCCCTCTCCCGTTCTAGCCGGCGCTCATAACACCCCCGCCGGCGCGGCTTCGCGGGGGCAGAGCCTTGAGGGCCAGCCTTGAGGGCCGGAGGGGTCGCACGCTTCGGCTCCCGACCCGAGCCCGCCCCGCAGGTGGTCTCGGACTTCATGCGCGGCATCGAGGACGCGGCGCTCCGCGACGCCGTCCTCTCCCTCACCCGCTCCAACCTCGCCGCCCTCGACGCCAGCCTGCCCCGTCACGCCTCCCTCCTCCACGGCGCGCCAACGGCGCGGCCGGCCGGAGGCGGCGAGGCCGCGGCCGGCGAGGCCGGCGGCGGCGGCCTCGCGCGGGCGGCGCCGCCCGAGAGGAGGCCTCACCGCAAGGGCGAGCTCTTTCTTGCCGGCGTTGCCCTGGGTGCCGCGCTAGGAGTCGCCCTATCGGCCTACTCAAACTGCTCTCGCCGACCGCCGCGGGCGCCGCTCGCCGGCCGCCCTCGCTCCATCGAGGAGATTGTGTCCGCTTCGCTACCCGGCCGCGCTGCGGCGGCCGCCGCTGCGGGCTCATCTGCTCCGCAGTCGCGCGAGATTGCCGCGCTGCGGCAGCAGAACCAGACGCTGCGCTCTCTGGCAGTGGCGGCGAGCTTGCTTGCAACCACCGCGCTGATGAGCATGCTCATGAGACGAGCGAGATAGTTACCACCCGTTTCGCGTTTGGGCGATACTCGAAAAAGGAGGGGTCGCGTGACACACGCCCGCGCAGGCGCCGGCCGACACCGCAACACCGCAAAGAATTTTTGTATCTTGTGTACAGTGTACGGATCTACGGTATATACTTTAGCGGCGGGACGAGAAAATACGGACAACGCTCTCAGACTAGTTGCAAATACGGGTGGTGTCACAATGACCACTTTTGATGTGTTTTTTTGTCCGTGTTGCTCCCAGCGCCCTCGCCCGCGCTCCCTGAGGCCATGGCTGGTGATACTAGTATGGGGGGCTACCTGGATACCGCGAGAGCGACCCAACTCGTCGACATCGTCCGATGATGGTGCCTCAAAGTCAGCCTCCGGAGGCTATCGTCGCGTCGAGCCGGCGGTGGCCGTGACATGTGGTTCCACCACCCCTCGCAGGCTTTGCCTCTGACCGCCACCGTTCCCAGGCTGCCTAATGGGATGGAAAGGAAGGCTGGGCGAGCGTATAGAAGCGTGCTCGACCTCGTCGTGGCAACCTGCACGGCAGCGCTGGCAGGCGCGATGAGCGTCGTGCCACCTGACCCGAGACGGGTCGCAGGCGTCGTACCGAGCGCGTCGAGACCGTGTCCTGATGCGCTCTGCACGGGTGAGTCACGTCGGCGTCAAAGGAGCGACGTGTGACCTGTCAGAGCTTGATCTCCGATCTCAGCGGCGTCGAGTCGCCTTCGGCGGCGACAGCTAGGATGCATCTCCTCCGTCGTTTTTTGCGCTACGGCCCTGAGAAGCTGGCGCCGCACGCAGGCGGACCTTGTGTATGCGGCGAACGCTTAAAAAGTGGGTGCTCTACGTCACTTTTTTTGAGTAGATAGTGCCGAGCTGGCCGTGACAGCGATTTTGGTAGTTTTGGGCGGGTTTTGCACCACAGACTTTTTGCAACTAAGCCTCAAGGTGTTCGCTCGCGTGGGTCGTGGCTGTGTGTGCCTGTGTGGTTGAGCGGCCGAGCCAAGGGCGTCGGCATCCCATGGTGAAAAACTGAGACACGAAAAAGGAGGGGTCGCATGACACACGCCCGCACGGCGCCCCGGCCGGCGCGGCGGCCAATGGCCAACAGTGTTCCAACAGCAACGCGCTACGCGGCCCGACAGACTTTATGAGGGGCCGCGGGGGGCGCTACGTCGTCGAGACTCGCCGACGAAGCGCGCGCGAGGGGAGCGGTGGATGGGGGTGGAGGGGTTGGCGGCGGCGGTCTTGCCATCCTAGGACTCGTCGGCGATGAGCTGCTTGTAGAAGGTCGACTTCATCGCGTTGACGCGCTTGGCCTTGGCCTTCTTTGTGGCCTGCGCCTCGGTGGCCGCCTTCTTGAAGGTTGCGGCGGCGGGGTTGAGGACGTCCATCGCCTTGGCCGACTTGAGCGGGTTCGCCTTGCGCGCCTTTGGCGCGGTGCCCTCCTTGGGCGCGTTCACCACCGACTGAACCTCGTCCGAGTTGATCAGGCGGGAGAGGTCGGCGTTGGCCATCTGCAGCTGGGGCATGCGGTACGGCGTGCCGTGCCGCGTCTTCTCGGAGGACGCCTCGGTGGGCGTGCCGTAGAGCCCATCGATCTGACGAGGCCAGCACCTGAGTGGGGACGTTCGAGGGAGGTAGTCTAGAGGGAGGG